TAGCAGAGGATGAGCTCATGAGGTTACGCTCCATGGGATTTAAGAGGGTATATTTCTTGTCATAAAACATGCCAGAATATGGTATCTTTCCAGCCTCTACCACTGTATCAAAGTTGCTGAGGTTGGCCAACCACATCTACAAGGGGAAGAAAGACAGAAGCAAACTTATACACAGGACAACACCTTAAGAAGTGAGGCTAAAACTCCAGAAACCTTAGAAAAGTGAAACTGAATGTTCCGTATTATTGGTTAGGTCCTTAGCCAAGGTCATTCTCTGAATTCTTTTTCTTTCTGAAGGAATTGACACTTATGGACTCTCATTGGTCAATGGTTATCCAAGAACAGATGTCAAATTAGCTATTAGCAAGCAGTAATTCCCTTTTGGTATGTGTGGTTTTTGTTTTTTTTTATTTTAGTGACAGACTTCTTTGTCTGTTGACTGATGATAATAAAAGCGAACTTCTTTCTGCAGTAAGTATGTCATGACTGAGAGTAGCTTTAACAAGAATGTGTCGATACATTGCTAAAGCTTGCAATGAAACACAGGCATCCAGAGCAAACGCAGGATGAAATCTGTTTCTGAATCTTGCTGCACATGCAGTGTGGCATTAGGAGAAGCTGGGAAGGAGAAGCATTGGATGTACTGGCCACCCATGATGGGGAGTCTTGAGACAAGCAAAATTTTCTGAATATTGATCTGAACTTCCCAGTTCCCAGTTTGACACCCAGCTGCTCTCCATGCAGGGGGAGGAAAGCAAGCACTTCTGAAAATGCAGCTGCTCTGAGCACTTAAATGGGAGCTCCACTAACTTGGACAGCTGGACTATCATGTATACCATTATGTTTAAAAATAGTGGTTGGGAAAGAATTAAGAGGAAAAGAAAAGAGAGATTAGCTCAGATAAATAAAATATAGAGCAAGCTGCTTTCCAGTCAGTTCAGACTCTCTGCAGGGAATTGCCTCACTGCGAAGGATGTCTCCCAGCTTCCTGCCCACTCATCTTCCTTAGGAGATAGTGTCCCTACCCCAGCGCAAGGATGTCTTTGTAGCTCCTGCCGTCTAGAATATCCTCCTTCTGTGTATTGCTTAAATGGCCTTTTTGCCTTATGACTTAACACCTACTTTTATTCATTGTGAAATGATTTTATATGCTTTTTAGTAAAGGTGACAGGCAGTGTATTACTCACTGTCGTCTTCTATTTACTCCCATAAAGCGTTATGGAATACAGTTAGTATGTGACATTCAGGACACTATAATACTGCATTGTATTGCATTGCAGCATGGGACAGTTCAGTGCCTTGAAAGAGGCACTGCCTTTTCCTTTGCCTACATCCTTTCTCAAGTGTTTTTTTTCCTGACTTTCTCCATAGCCAGTGTCTGGTTTCCACGAGTTCCCCCCGTGTATCTGATGAGGACAATGCTTGTCTGCTTGGAAAGGTCTTGTCATTTTAGTCTCACATCTTAGTTGCTACAAGAAGTACAGGAGTTACTCACATCTCCTCAAGCTGTTTCCCAGACGCTTGATGATTTACGAGGGGCCAGCCTCCAGAGACCGAGTTTGGGTTGACTGTGTTCCCTTGTCTATCTAAACCAGATAACTCTGCAAAATCCCACTGAAAATCCCCTTAGAAAGCTCTCATGCTTTTGGTTCCAGTCCTGGCTACACCGCTTCAGGTTGTAATTTAGTGCGTGGGGAGAGAGGTAAGAGGGAATCAAGCTGTTTCAGAGCTCCTGAAGAGTCTACTCCAGTGCCAGGTGAAGGCTCTGAGTGGCTTTGCATTTCATCCCATGTGAGTTATAGAAACAGTATTTATGGCCATTCTTGTCAAACATACTCTCTTCCTTTGTGGAAAAGGCATATCTCATACTGTAATATTTTTATATCCCCTGTTTTACTATACTGAGCATTGTCTCTCCATGCTTCTCTCCAGCCTTTGCTCTGTAATGACTTTATAATTACTGCCTTTACCATAATAGAAATAACAAGTCACTGTGCTTTGATTTTTAAGCTTTTTAACATGTGCAGCTTTACTTCTTCATTTACTTGTTCAACTTGGATACTGCAGAGCTACGTCAGCCATTATATTTCAGCACTGATCTTGGTCAGCTGTGATTGACTTGCTGGAAGAGCACCCTAGTCTGTGGAATTCAGAGTTTAAGTTAAACGAAAAGCCATGACAGGGCCTATCTTCTTGGGGTACAAGAAAGCTGGTAACATACTTTCTCAGCTGATGTGCTGAGTAAAGTGCATAGATTTTTTGTTTGGGAGTATATATATGAGCACATTTAAAAGATACTGTCACTAGCACTCTAATCTGAGTGGCTGACAACTCCGGAGTGAAGCCCGTACTAGGAATGGCTGGGAAAAGTGAACCTATCCCTCAGAAGCATGAACCACACTGAACCACACAGTGAAATGCGTGCTGATAGCGGGAAAATGGCAAGAGTTTGCTGCCTAAGAAAGAAGAGCAAAGTACTCTCAGGTATAGGATGAGTTCTGCCATGTTTTACTGCAGTAACTTTTGTTCTGACTTAGGGAATGGTTGTTCCATTCAAAAGTGGAGAATTTGCTTTCATCAAAACTGTTTTATTTTTATCCCTTTTCTCGGACATTTTGGACATAGTCCTGTGAAATACTTTGTCCTCTTGGGTGTACTGGGTGTTCTCAGAGTGCAAAGGTCCTCAGCAGTAGGAACTCAGTAGTGTTGGCTGGACATTTTGTTTCATTCCAGATTATGGGAAAAAAACCAGAGGTGTCTTTATTTTTTTTTCCCCAGAAAAAAATTAATTAGAATAAAATAAAATAGAAAACAGACTTGAGTGCAGATGTTCCTGATGAAAATTGCAACAAAACTGACAAGTGGGTCATCTGTATTTTCACTGAATTGTCACTTTTCCAGTGCAAATTGTTCAGTCAAAACAGAACAGAATAAACCAAAACTGGCTAGTTCTGCACTTTGTGGGCTATGGAGTCAGGGCTGTATTTGCTTAGAAAGGGTTGCTCAGGGTGTGAGAACATTTCATCTTGAATGAAAGCACCTTAGAAAGATGTCACAAGCAGATTTTGGAGATAGTTTTTACAGGAAACCCAGACTTTTATCTTCAAAGTTTCAGGTTGTTTGGAAGCTAGAATTATTACCCTGTCAGAAGGGTACAATGAACTGTTGACACACAACAACGCTTTGCTTACAGCTATGTGCAGAAGGTATTTACAGCCAGAAACCAGTGAAAAGCAGCCTGAAAAATAGATGTACTTACCATGAAGTTTGTACCATTTCTCTGGGTTCCTGTTTTCCATGAGCATTTATGAAACAAATATATTTCTTTATATAAAGAGCTTTGAAAGCTTGAGTCAAACTTTAGATTTTATTTTAAGAGAGAAAACTTTGATTACTGTGTGCGACAGACGGCTATGGCTGGTTGCTTACTTTGGTTTTGTATTTCTAACATTCATAGAGTGGCTTGGTGGGAGACATTTTCCCCCCATTTGCTCTTCCTCAGTAGCCAAATTCAGGAGAAGACACCAGTTTTATATTTCTATTGCTTGTAGTGGAACTGGAGGTTGACCTGACAATCAGCAGGCTACTGGGGGTGATGTTCAGTTTAAGATCAGGACACCGGAGTTCAGGTGTTTACATGAAAGCAAGTGTCTAAGTTCCTGTAGTAAGTAGAAATTTGGTCAATGCAGTTGGGTGCCTGACTCGGGACCTGTCCAGGTGTAGCTCCCACTAGCTATGTTGAGAAGGGGCTCAGCTTGCCCACGCACAGGTGGCTCCACGAGACAGCACAGCTTCCATGGGACTTCTGCAGGGGGCTGCTGGATGTGCCGCTGGACCTCCCTGTCCTGGTGGAGGCCAGGCAGGAGACCGTCCTATGTCTTAAATGGTGTTAGAAATCTCGCTGTGAGTAACTGCACTGAGGCCTAGATCCCCACACAGCACATGGGGAACACGGATAGCTGTCTCACGGGTGGAGGCTCAGATCTGAGAGTCTTAACTGAGAACTGAACCCTGCCGTGATCTGCATGTTACCTTGAAGCCTTCTGATCCTCGAAAATTCACCACACTGAAGTTGTCAATGCACAAGAAAATAGTTGTTTGCAGTTCTTTGGTGCTGGGAGCCAGTTCCAGTATCAGTAACAGCTGGAAAATGCAAGTGCCTGGTGCAACTGAGAAGACATTTTGACTTTTAGAGAGCTGGGTCTTGCCACAGTTCCTGTTATGCTTGGAGCGAGGGATTTACAGCAGCTAAGGCTTTACCTCAGTGTAAGTAAACTTTAGGAACAATTGAGTATTTGCTCAGGCAGAAGTTGTGGAGTTTTAATTAAGTAAAGACTTGGCTATTTGTCTTGAAGTTACTCAATAAGATGGTTGGTGGGACAGTTTTTTACTTCAGTTACGTCGGTGTAAGCGTGGAGTAGCTATTTGTGTTAATGATCCATTGACAGTAAATGATTCACAGCATATAAATAAAATCAAAATGTGACCTAACACATGTTTCTGGGAGGAAACTTAAGAACAGTAAACAAACTTAGACTCACTCGCAGGCACTCTCCTGCAGCCTTTTATTGCCGCTTTTGTTCAGAGGGCCTCTCTCCCTAGAGCACCAAATTTGGGAAGCAGGGCTGTTTACCTTTTTACTTCACTCTGTCTCACTTCATTGTTCTCAAGCTTGCAGCTTTTATTAAAGTTTAAATTCTGTTTTAAAACCAAAATGGTGAGAAGGAAATTATATAATCAATATCAGTGTAAAAGTAATGATATATTTATCATAAAATAAAGACTCTATATAGTTGAGTACTGTTGTTTTTATTGTTTACAGGGGTGGAATTAAGAGAAAATACACACTGTACTTCCTATTTAATAATAACTGCTCCTAGACCCAACTTTTTACAGATTTTAAATGCAAATAATTTCTGCTGTGTTATAAACTGTTGTGTTTTTTGCCTTCCTGTAACTGGAACAACATACTAATTTCTACAAGTTGTGGCTACTAACAGAGAGCAATCACCTCACAGACTTGTACCGAAAAGAAGAGACCATCAGCGTGGCAGGGAACGGCTGCATCCACAGTCCTCGCTTCCCCAGCAGTTACCCCAGGAACCTCCTGCTGACATGGCGGCTCCACTCCCCGGAGAGCACCAGGATCCAGCTGGCTTTTGATAATCAGTTTGGACTGGAGGAGCCTGAAAATGATATCTGCAGGTGAGTGGTGAGTGGAAGTTTGCAAAGGGCTCCTTAATACCACTTTCGAGCTTAAGAAGCCACTGGCATGAGACTGCAAACCAAAACCTGGGTATCTCTGGCCAGGTCTAGGATGGCCCTGCTTGGAGGACAGACCTCCAAGGGTCCCTTCCAACCCAAACTGGTCTTTGTGTTTATAAATAAACTGAGCTGTCCTGGACTTGGAGCAGTTTTGGCAGGTTTTAGTCCTTCTATAGTATTTTAAGCACAAGGCACTTGTATGCTCAAATCCAGCTGCCTAACAACTCAGGCACTTTAATAGGATTTTGTCCTCTGTCACCTCTGTCATGTTTCAGCCAGGCAAAAAACATCTTTTTCAGTAGGTGGAAGGCTCTGGGAGGTGTGAGTGAGTAGGTATGTGCTTATATTGGGGTGTGAGGGACAGATAAAAATGCATTGAAAAATATAACTATATGTTCTTCAAATTATTTGTTTGTCTTTGTTGTTACTCTTCACTGGTACAGTTTCTTTTAAAACCTTTAAATATAGGTCCACCAACATCAGTGTACTCTGCATACTGATATATCTAATAAAGTATACTGTACCATATCCCGGTTGCTTTGGTTTCCCCTTTTAAGCAAAGGTGACCATAAGCTCAGTTGATCTGGCTGATTAACCCGGGTGGATAAACTGCTTTGCATTAGCAGAGCACAGAAGTGAATCTTGCCAATGTTCACTAAACAGCATAAATCCATGGAGTTTTCTGTTTAGATTTCTTTTATTCAGCTATCTGTTCTGTGGGAGAGAGCAGGCTGAGGATTCCTGTGCACTGTGAAAGGCAGATTGCTGTGATGCTACTTACATAAAATGCTCAAGTCTCAGTTTCCAGCTCTCTGCCTGATCATGTCGTTACTTATGCCTTATCTATGCAGAGAAGTGGGTTGTTAGGATTTCTGCACACCCAGCCTCTGCTTATCTTATCTTCTTTGTCAATTAATTTGCCGTTATAAGGTTTGGCAGCTCTGCGGGGTTTTACAGGGTGGATTTTTTTTTCTTGTTTTGCTTTGTTAATTTTCTACGTTACCAACAGAAAGAACCATTTGCTTTCCCTTTAGTAATAAAAGAATGAAGCCTGAAACTGGCTCTCCTTCCTTGCGCCTTGATGGTCTTGGCAGCTGCTGCTCTGCTCTGGTGCTGTTGGTCCGAGATCAGCAGCAGTCAGTAACGACGGTTACCTCCCAGCACCGCAAACACTTTCCCAGATTGAGAGCCTAATGCATACAGAAGCAGCCTGTTAATATTTACAGTGGATAAACTGTGGCTGACCTTAAAGCATTGCAACTTTGAAACAGAGGGCTAATTTACTGTGGAAAAATAGATTAAGTATTCTCTGTCAAGAGCCATTAAAGGTGGTGGCACGGTGAGGGGAAGTCAAGCTGTTACCGGCATTATGGGTTTGGACTGTCTTGGAAGACAGTCTGCCTGCTTTTTCCAAAGCAGATAGTTTAGGATGCAAAGAGAAGCAAAGACCTTCCATCATCCATAGTGTCTATAGAAGCTGGAGAAATATCACATTCTTTTCTGCAATAAAGCTTTCCCTGGCGTTCCTGGAAGACCTTTATTTGCGTAGTATTACTTCCAGAGTGAGGAATTCCTCGGGCAGACAGCTCATGATGGCTTTAAGCCTGTTAAGTACTGTGTGCATAGTTAGATTTTTTGCTACTGCTCAATATGTTTTTCAAAACTAGGTCCTTTCTGCAACTTTAGTCCCTGGCGATCCCTGCCGTGCTGCTTTAGAGAGACAGCTAGGCGTGTTTTAATTGAAATGAATGCTGAGAGCTGAGCATGTGCTTGAATGCTGTATGTATTGGACAAGTAATTCAGGACCTCTGCACCTTACCTTCCTTTTGTACTTGCTTTTGACCTTATGCTTTTTTCCCAGAAACTTTCTAGTGTTTTCTTTCAATTTTTCAATAATGCTAATTATTGTAATTTACATACAATTAAGACTGAACTGATTGAAATTCATTCAGGCTGAGGAATGAAAAGGTATACTTTATCAGTGCTGTTTCAGAAGAAGGGGAAATATTCAAGGATTTACAGAATTTTCTAGAAGTGCCATTAGCATTTCCACAGGCACTTGATAAGAGATGATTCTGAAGAGCAATTAAATTACCCAGCTCTTTGAATGCACAGAAACAACTGAAATTGCACCTACTTCCATGATTGTTGCACCAAAGCCTCTGCTGCTGAAAGCAGAAATAATCCCTGAAAGCCCGTGGATTTGCCCCGTTTTTGCCAGCAGTTAGTCTGGCTCCCAGCCTCAAAAAGTAGAGGCCGGTCAGGGCAATTTTCACCAACGCCTACAAGGTCATCTTATGCTGAAAACCCTGCAACCCCTCGTGTTACGATAAGCGATCACTGGCTGTTGTGCTGCCCCGGGGGCAGTGGTGGATGCTTGTCTGGGCAGTGGGGAGCTCTGCCTGGGTACCACATCCATCACCATGAGGGAGTGGGAGCAGAGGCCGGTGGAGAGAGCCTGAGACAAGTTTACCTCTGTCTGGAACTAAACTTTGTAGTGTTACAAAAAAATGTAAGTTTCAGCAGAGTTTGGGCAGATTTAAGTGATTTGGTTATGGTGAATCTGTTATTTTCTGTTCTGTGCAATTTGGGGTTGGTGAATATAAAAGCAGCAGTGCTGATATTCTCAAGCCACATAGTACTTGTGTTTTTTTCACATGGGCTCTCAGCAGAAAAAGAAAAGGAGGTCTGTTATTTACAGAGCTATTCAGCTCCCACAACTGGGTAGGGAGGTGGATGCCTGGCCCACAGACCCAGGGGTGGGGAGCAGCACATTTCTAGTAAGAATCGGTTAACAGTCTTAAACTCTCTCTTTGGAGGGAGCATATGCTTTGATAATAAAAACGTAATAAAAGACCTCTAAAGTTTTAGGGCTTAACTGTACTGTAGGGTTGGCAGCTCTCCCCATCTCTTGTTGCCTGCGCTCAACCTGCCCCTCTTGTCATCACCTCTCCCTTGCCGACCGCAATTTGTGGGGCCTAATTCTGCCTCCACAGATATCGAGGGACTTCTTGTCATAGACATAGTGAGATCAGGACTTTATTCTCTGCCTTCCTTGTTCTCCGGCTCAAGAAATGAACTCAATAAATGACCCAAGCCAGCAAATACACAGGCTGTGGCAGTGAGTGCTGTCACTGTGTCCTCTCGTCCCTGGGGTGTAGTGTCTGCTGCTCCTGGCAGAGCTCTTGGGCTGTGGCACAGGTGCCTGGCCAAGGTGTGACCTTGCACAGGGCAAGACGTGCTGTTGCTTTTCCCCTGGTGACAGCACCCAGGCGGAGAGTGGAGGAGTCCCTGCCGCAGCACGCAGAGTGCCAGCCTGCCCTTTTCTGCTTGAAAGCTTGAAACGAGTCTTTCCAAATTATCTAGCAGGAGCACCATGCCTCCTACAAAGAAGGTCCTAAAAAGCACCTTTCAGCAGCATGCACTGCCCTGTGTCCCTCCAGCATCTCCCTTTGCTCCTGGCACAGCAGCAGCCCAGCTCCAGCCCTCCGACAGGCACAGCAGGTGGGAGCCGGTGGCTGCTGCTGCAAGGAGTTGGGAGACCACCAGAAAGTGCACAAGGGCTTGCAGCTGCTCAGCTTGGGCTGCCTGCCTTAAACAATATTTTATCAGGTCTCTAAATTATTTATCTACCACATGAAATGCAATGCGTATGTTTACTGTGTACTAAGCACAGGCAAGTGCCTCATTACTATTTTAACATGGTAGAAAATACTATCTGTCATGTTCCAGGAGCCCAAAAATCAGCTGTTTCAGCACTCAGGCAGTAGCTTGCAGCTTAGTGTATTTTGTGCTACATGAGGACGTCCAGCATTTGCAATACTTAGTCTGATGTTTTGCAGTGGAGAATGGGGGACAGTTGTCTTTGTGTCTCCAGCTGTGCTCCTGTCTATTTGCAACCATCTTCTGTAACCAGAGTTAGCAAGAACTAATCCTTCAAACTGGTTCCCAGGTATGACTTTGTGGAAGTAGAAGACGTATCAGAGACCAGCACGGTTATACGAGGACGGTGGTGTGGACACAAGGAAGTACCTCCAAGAATAACATCAAGAACAAATCAGATAAAGATAACCTTCAAATCCGATGACTACTTTGTGGCTAAACCTGGATTCAAGATTTGTTACTCCCTTGTGGTAAGTCACCTAGCTGTGTCATGGGTGAGAGGCAGATTGTAGTGCAAAAGGGCATCAGTACTTGAAGACTGGATGGTGTAGCTAACTGCATTGGATCAAAACACTAATTGACTGAAAGTATTTTAATTCCAGCAACTACATTCGTACAGATCAAAGTATTTTTGAAATCCCATCATTAAATATAAAATAAAGTCAAGTCCAGGCCAAGATTTACACTAATAGCATGTTTCAGAAGCACTAACACTTTCTGCACTGAGGCTGCACTGCCAGTGCCTTGACAGATGCTGTAGAAATAGCAAAGAAATGGCTGCTCTATGAACTCCTTTTTTATGTTCATTTGAGGTCAAATAAAAATACCTTGAGGGGTTATGGCTGTGATTCTGAGTTAGATGCAGAGTAGTTAATCTACATGCAGTAAAATGCTACATGCAAGACAATGTGCTAAGGCTCAGGCTGTATTTTTAACCACGTATATACATGCATCTTTGTATATGCAGTGGCATTAGCAGTGTATCAGGTGCTGTTTCAATGAGATGAAAATCTCCTCTTTTTTTATTTTGGTTTTGTCTTTAGGGAGCAGGAAT